GCACATATATATACATATATATATTCCATATTTTATACGTTGCGGCACACCATATGTGCATAACATAGTGTAGGTTAAGTCAGCAAAACCGTATATACATGTAATTCCGTTAGATCCAAACTAACCAATCACAACGTTCTTTTCGGACAACTATCCTTTAGATCCATTTCGCCGCACCCGCATAAACGCGGCCTAACTTTCAAACCAGGCATAAGCCTTATCTCTACCCGGACCACACCGTCTTCGGATCCCACTTGCGGGCAAACAGCCTCTTCCACTGACTCTTCTAGCAAGATGGCACTTCCTTTTCATTCCGAAGTCGAGAGCAGTCTAGAGTAGTCCGAGCCGTAATCCAGATCAGTCAAGTTCCAGTCTCTCTCAAGTTCTCGCATCTTGACCGAAGCCGTCAAGTCCATCCTGCATTCACGAGTCTTTTCCTTTACTTCGTAAGAATCCAGCGTTAGAAGTAAGCTACGAGTAATTGTAAGTCGCTAGTAATAGTACATTATATTATTACTTTATTCTTATTCATTCTTTATTAACTTTAAACATCAAACCAAGGATAATTTCAATATTGCATGTTGAAATAAGACTCAAGTATTTAATCCATTGTTCGCACTTGAGTAAAGTTAAGAGCATTGCTTGTATTGTAAATATTCAGTATATATACTTATTTATTAAACTCAATTTGAAATACCAAATATTAAGTCATTTATGTATTGTGTAAGAGACTACATTCATAATTCCTTGCGTAGACGCGCTCAGTAAATAGCGCGGTAAAACTGCAGAAAAGGGGAGCAGCTTNCGATGACCTTGAGCTTAGGATATATTGTCAAGGTCGTGGCCCCGAGTAAGATTCTGCAGGTTTTATCCGGCGGTTATTGTTTGTTTACAAGTTATTATAAAAAAATGTTTTACAAATTATTCCTTATTTTTTGACATCATGTACATTGAAAGAGTAAACATGTTGTTCCTATCGGAGCATTACATACCTACGTACGTAAATAGTTCAAGTATTAATTAAATGTATGCGTTATTTGAATATTTTGGTAGTTTTTTTTATGTAGAATTTTGCTAAGCATGGAAAATGTATGCGTGGAAGAAGTGTGATCCGCCCCCCCTGCGGGGGGGCTCCACTATCCAAAAACTAGACACATAGGTTTGGGTTGAACCTCGTTTTGCGTGAAAAATGCATGCGTGGATGCAATGAAACTGCGATTACGTCGCTATATAATTTGTTTTGATTTCTTTGTTGCGATACACGTATATACCTATTATTTTCACGAGGGGGGAGCAGGGAGGAGGGGCAAAGCCTCCCACCTGCGGGGGGGGGGCAGCCCCCCTGCCAACACTTTTACAACATAAAAAAATGTACATGATGTCGGGAAAACAAATTTTTTTATGAAACTTTTTTTGTTCATAACTTTTTTCTAAACACTGACCGCCGGATAAAACCTGCGGAACCTTACTCGGGGCCACGACATTGACAATATATCCTAAGGTCAAAGTCATCGGAAACTGCTCCCCTTTTCTGCAGTTTTACCAATAGCGCATCTCATGACCCATGCCAAAAGAAGCGCCCGAACGGCGCATCTTGAAGATCCTTTCAAGCCACAAATTCTTACGGCGTCACTACGAGGTCGAAGGGTGGGTTCCGCCATGTTGGAAGACGCCGCGTTTCTTTCTGTTTCTGTCTAAGCGTAGTTGCCGCCATATTGGAATGCTTCGCGGTTAGTGTCGTCCTTGTCTACGAAAAGCAAGAACGCGCCCGAACGGCGCATTCACTCAAAGTATTGTACGAACCATCTTTTTTCCAGGAACAATAATAATTACTAGTGCATACTAATAATCGCGACGAAGCGCGTCCCTAAATCAGTGTTAAATCGTAGATGCTGAAGAACAAGCGCGGAAATTGTGCAAGTTGGCAGAAACAAAGGTGGCGTCGAGTGATTGAGTGGCTAGAGAGCACCTCGCATCAGCCGCTGTTACATCCCCACATCTTTTGGACATAGTTTTTTTTCTTTTACTTTTCTAAACTATGTCCATTACACATAATCTTATATACCATGCACCATCTTTGATACACGTAACTAGCGTAAGTCATATATATACACACGTATATACATATATAAGTGCATATATATATATATCCTAAGTATTTGTATACCTAGTAATATAGCGTACAAAACAACCATAAACCATCATGTGCGCTTAAAACGCGCCCTAACACTAAGATTTCCGTTGGATCCGCTCCAACCAATAAGAACCTACTTTTCCGGACAACTTTCCCTTAGATCTTTTCGGCCGTACTTACGTGAACACGGCTTAAGCCCCAAACCGCGCCTAAGCGTCCTTTCTACTGCGCCGGCCGCTCCTCTCCACTGCCTTTCTGAGCGTACTGGCCCCTTCCTTCACTCAGAGCCAAGCCGAGCGCAGTGCTCTCCTGGACCTCAGATCAGCTAATCGAACTTCTTCTACCTCCGACTAAGTGGTCATTGCTTTCTACATTTCGACACGCGACGGGTCTACTTCCTAAGTTCTATCACAACGAGCGGGTCCATTCAACATACATTCGTACCACATTAAAATCTAGAAGAAGCTGTATTGTAAGTTATTTTATTAATGGTATCTTTATTGCTATTTAAATATTAATCCACTACAACTCGTTTTATATTCGAGTAATATATCCATATATCATACGAACTCAAATCTTTATTGAATATTGTAAGCATAATCAATCGTTTTGTTAAAAGCATGCCAAATATCGCCAATTCGAGTAATCTGTTATTTGCACTCAAATTGTTAATAATTGTACTCATAATAGTAATATCTGCTTCATTAAGAATATACTATATTGGTGCTTAAGTATTTTAGTCGAGGTGTCTTTACTCTGTTTCAGTATACCTCAATTAACTTGTGTATTGCATACATTCCTGTACTCTTATTGCTTAAGTTAAGTTCCTAAATCTTGAGAGGAAGCGCTCGAACAGCAAATCTTTGACATCCCAGTGCATCAAAAACGCGCTAACCTGCGCATTTTGGAGCGTTTTCCGTTTTTTCCTTTGTTCACAACATCGCCGCGTCTCCTTGGCGTGGGTACCGCCATCTTAGAAGATGCCGTGCCCCCCGACAGACTGGCGCCGACCGTTTAGACGGTCGGTTTAAGTGCTTTGGTTGCGACCGAGAGAAGGAACGCGCTGACCTGCGCATTCCACTCAAGGTATTATAATCCACTATTCTCTTTCAGATATAATATAAATCAGTGCGCGTTAACAAAATCGAGGCATGAATTGTTAATAATTAATTTGCTGGGTAATTGTACATGCCAAAGAGAACCAAGCCCGGTATTAGATCCGGGTGGCGAGCTCATCGGTGGCGTCGTCTTATAGCGTAGGTAGAAAGCACCGTAAACCAACCGCCTTGCGCGAACAACGTCGGACACTCGGTGATTCTTTCTAACGAAGTGCTGAAACACAAAGTGCAAGTTCGGGAATATAAGAAACCGATTTGCGTTAACACATTACATTGGTATTACACGACCACGTTACCTGTTAATGATCCGCGATTTCATGTATATCAAGAGAAGTTAATATGTACGTTTCTTCTTGCACCATCTGTAATAACACTCGAATAAATCAATGTGTATCGGACAACCGCTACCTCCCAGAGAACTCGGTGAATTTATTGAACTTTTATCCCGCTTTCGACCACTGGCAGAAGTACAACTTAGATCGTGGCCGTATAGTAGTTTTGGCATATAGATATAATTTGAGTGAAGATATTTATTGTAGACAGTGTGCCTTCCAACCGGGAGTTTACCAATTTTGCCAGCCTATTTTTAGTCACGGCATTGCTAGCGGGACTAAATCAACTGCCGTGTTGTGCACTAAATGCCAGAGTAATCTTACTACTATTAAACGCGTTAGCAAGTGTACCTCGTGCCACGAGGCGTATTGTAATTTCATCGGCGTGCACTCTGACGATTTTTATACGTTAACAGATTCCACAGTTTATATTTATGAGGACAGTCGCGTTTAATAGAACCACCTTATGAATCCGATTTTCTCTGGTGCAAGCGCGTCTATTTTATAAGTACTCCGATAGCCATGTGATGGCACCGTGACGTTACTGCGACCGCACGCTGTGGCGCACGCGTGACAGCACGAGTATGTCCAGGTACGTCCGCGCTATGTCGTCACCGTGACAGCACGTCGTGCCATCGCACTGCGTGCGGTCACAGTGCTTTCACAGTGTTATCATAGTGCTTTCACTGTAGCATCACTGTGCGATCAAAGTGGCGTTATGTGTGGCTTTTGGAATATGCAGGAATTGTGAGGTTAGGTTAGGTTAGGTTAGGTATACTTTTAATTTGACTTGGTAATTTTCTCGCTGAATTAGTCGCACTAGTTCAGAGTTTATTTGTTTTATTCTATATTGGAAGGAAAAAATAAACTCTAAGAACTAGTGCGCCCAATTCAGCAAAAAAAAACAAGTCACAAATATTACAGACTATTTTTTTAATTATATTGTGCAATATAATAATTTATTTATTATTAATGAAATACATGCTTATTAACAGTACATAAAATTATAATACATAAAATACATTATATTGTTTACAATATAATTGTAATATATTAAAAAATGTATATAATAATTCTAAATTATTGTCAAGAATAACAATATATATAGCATAAGAAATAATATATAATGTGGATGCTAATAAACAATATAGTTCAACAAAAAATAAACTATTTAAAATATTTATGTAGTATGTCTCTTTATGTAATATCTCTCAATCAAAAAATGTTTTTTTAATAGTACTCTAAGACTTAAATTGTACCACAATTAATGAAATATTTTAATTTGATAAATTTTATAAACTTGGTCAAATCTTCAAAAATCTTCGTATCTGTACTTACACTGATGTGAGTTGACATAATATTGCTTATCAGTGTTCATACAGTGAAAACACTCTAAACGTCATAAAATATATCGCAGTTAAAATATGTAAGTTAAAATATCTTAAATAAAATAGAAGCAAAAAATATATAAATTTCATATAAAAATAAAATCATTAATTATATTCCGACATCCCTGCAAACGATTCCCTGATACAAAGAAAAAAATAATAGTCGTTACCGATTTTAATTCTTTCTTTGTTTCTGTAATGAAAACAATCATAATTAAATATATTCTTATCTAAGAATTATATATAAGGATATATAAAAGACAGAAAAAGGAATATTTATAAGAATGAATAGTTAATTCCCTAGACAGATTCATGGTTTTGCTATGTTTAGTGAAACATAACAAACAATATTAAACAATCTGTTGCTACACTGAGGAATTATAATGAAATATGTTATAATACCTTGTATGTCGACAATGTGTCGATTCTTTCGAGATCGGACTGCGTTAAAATATAATTAATGTCTTCTTCCTCATAATTTGTTTCTTCTCTCTTAAAAATCTCTTCTTCTAAGTGGTTTTCCTCAATCACTGACTCCTCGTACGGTTCGAGATCATAGTCCAAATGCTTGTCCTGCTCGTCGACCTCTGAATTTTCTTCAATATGTTTCGAAACCTAAATTAAAAAAGTGTAAATTATAATTCCATGTAATTTTATTGTAATAGATAATAGGCAACATAAAATCATAATCCGAATGCTTGTTCTTGTCCTGCTTGTCGACCTCTGAATTTTCTTCAATATCTTCTGAAGCCTGAATAAAAAAAGTGTAAATTATAATTCCATGTAATTTTATTATAATAGGCAACACAATGAACGTCTGGCATTACGCCAGATAAACAAGTGTTGTTTTTTGTTTTTGAAACTTGATGAGTGATAAGACAAACTTGATGTTTTTTGTATTATTGCAGCAATATAAACTTTTCGGATTTTTTTACTTTTTTATATGTTGACAAAATGACAATTAATGTAGTTTACAAATGCTTAAACTTACATCAGTGCTTTGAAAGGTAGCAACTGCCTCTGGCGATATTCTGTGAACTCTGGCAGAGGTTGCTTTTTTTCACATGACATCTACGAACTTGACGGTCTTTCTTTTCAACGTTGTCGATTATCTGATTGCTGATCTGATGTCGGTAGTTCAAATCCGCGACTAATTGACGTTTTCGTCGCCTCTCTTTTGAACATTTAAGAGCGCAAGTCATTGCTTCAGCAAACTCGATATTAGTTGGTCGACAGTAATCACGATTTCTAGCCATTGCATCTGTGAAAAAACATTTTTAACGTAAATTAAATATGAATGCATCTTTAACATTAATCAGATATAAAAACAATGTAGTCAAAATAATATAATAAAGACGTGACCTTTACATGTTTCGGCGAAGCGAGTTCCTTTTAAAGCGTATAAATTGTTTGTACCCAGCCACGTGACATGAGATAAAATATCTATATCGCTAGTAAAGGCACATGTAAAATAATGTCCTGCAGAGTCCACGGGATTTATACCACCTAAATAGATGAAGTGATTGACCTGTAAATAATATTAGTATATCATATGAAGAAGAGACTTTGATACAATCAATTTTTATTAAATATGAAAAATAAAAATAATATTTACCACATTGTCGGAAGTCGCCTGATCGACATTTAAAAAATGTAGAAAATCATCTAGTTTGAAAAATAGAAAATTTTTATAAAATACACATTTTTTTTAACAATAACTATTTTTTATACACTTTAAACTTAAATTTATTGGTGATATTTTGTATGTCTTTTACCTGAGTCAACTGCCACAATGAGAATAACCTTGCCAAAACATACCACCTGTAAAACACAGTTAATAATGATATTTTTCACTTATTTTATTATTGGTCACTTTTCCCACTTTCGGTACAATACCTTTGTTTACTAGAAGAAGCTGCTTTGTAGTAATCGAACGTAATTGGCTCTTATACTTATAAAACAAAACAAATTAACGTCAAGTGGTGACAAGACAACTCACTAATTGTTGTGTTGAACGCGGCCGTTCACAACACATGCCACGGCGGTTCCGACGCATTTTCATTGCAGTGCGATTACGGTGCATTTTTATCGCAGTGCGAGCACGGCGCTGTGATTCACCACGTGCGCTCTCTGTGCGGTTATGATGGCGTTTTCCATGCAGTGATTGCACAGAGATGCCACTGTGAACGCACGCCGTGACTGCACGGTGTGCCTTCGCGTGCGATTGCACGTTTTGCTATCGGGGTAGAACGTGGACCGACGAAGTTTATTGCCCGGTTTCTGCGAGAAATATTCCCGAGAACGAACCGCGCGACATAATAGATTACCATCTCCTAATTACGAATAACATAATTCAAGTCGGTTTTAGTGTGTGCGGTCGGTGTTGCGCAAACGCCGCTCAATTAAGGCCCGCGGAAGATTGCGATTTGTGCGGTACACAACAGCTCTGTGAAACAAACACCGATTGACTTTTCGAGACTTCTATGTGCGAACCACATTTGTATCGCAGCCGACAACTATCGCTTCCATCTCTCGACTTCATGCGCCGATTTACGATTACCCTTTGTAGACAAGCTTTAGTATTTTACTTGAAACCTTCGGCAAATTTGTGCGAACCGTCATACATTCTGTGCGAGCAGTGTAACGATACACGTTTTCCAACACATATCCAAAAAGTTCTCGGTAACCACGGTTTTAAAATAGGACGTCGGCGAGCGGTCAGACGCTGTCAGATTTGTTACCGGAATCTCACCCGCCATCGTGCCGTGCTAGATTGTTCAGAGTGTTTCAAGCAATTTTCTTACTTCATCGATTCTTCTTTTCTTTTCTTACTTCTTTTTCTTTCTTTCTTCTGTATGTTTCTACGAGTTACACGACTCAACCGTCGTCGTATAGTCAGGAGACCGAGTATAAGTGTACTTTTCTTAGAAATCTCTCCAGCTCCTTGCAACGAGTGCCTTGCCGCAGGCTATCCCAGGTCTTGTACTTAAAATAACGGTAGTTCCGCGAGTCAAAGGTCCGAGTACTAAGTTCTGCAACATTTTTTTTTTCTTAGCCGCGACCGACCAAGACGTAACACCGCTTAATGCCGACGTCGGGTATCCCGTAATCATCAGTAACGAAAGAGTTGATTTCACTTTCGAAATCCGGAAGTAAAAAAAGTTAGTTTCCGTAAATACCACTCATTGGTATTACACGGTGACGTTGCCAGAAAATGACCCGCGATACCGCGTAGATAAAAAAAAATTCATGTGTAAACTGTTACCTGCTCTTCCTGTAATTACTTTACACTAAAATAAATGTGTATTTGCGTACGAGAATTTTTGTTAAGTGGCTCAGTCATTTACCTACCCGAGAATTTCGATCACTGGCAGTAATATAGTTTAGGTCGATGTCGGAAGGTATCAGGATACCAGCGGTATCGGTACGGGGATAGCAGAGTCTATTGTGCATATTGCATGTACGAGATAGATATTGGATCTTACTGTACATTTTTTGAACTCACGGAGTACTCATTGGGAACCGTTCTGATATAATTTGTTGTGATAGTTGCAACGCAAGCATAACCACAATTTTTCCAAGTGTACGCAACTGCTAGGAATGTCATAAACATTACCTTTTCTTTATAGCAGAACACACCGACTACTTTTACGAACTTCCAGATCTAAGCATATTACTTATTTCCGGGGAAGAAATCTAATAAACCCCTTTCAACTTCTGTGCAAACGAGTTTGCGCCGTGATACGCTCGTGGACCGACGATATTTACTGTACATTGTGCGCCGGTAATATTCCGCCGACGAAACCGCGAGACGAGTTAACTATCACGTGCCTGTAATAAACGCGGAAGTAAGAGCCGGATTCATTTAGTGCTGCCGGTGTCAGGCAAATATACTGCGAATTCTGCCCGCGTATAACTGCGATATTTGCATGCAGCAGCTTCTCATCAGCGATTCGAAGTAATAGCACGCGTTCATGATATTCCCTTATTCTCACCATGGTTACATTCCTTTAGTAAATTCAATGAGAACTTTCTGGTCCACGCGTTGCCAAATAGCGCGAGTTTTCCGCTTAGATCCACCCGCAGATCTAGACGCGCCTTCGTACACACTCTGTGAGCGGTGCAACGACTCAAATTTTCCGCGTTATATCTGCCGAGTCTTAGAAAGCCACGGAGTCGAAATCGGGCAAAGTCGAGCGGACGTTCGTTGCCAGTTGTGTCACAAAAGCCTTGTGACCTATAAATCGTTAATAGAGTACGTAGAGTGTATAGAGCAACACGCCTATGTCATAGATAGAGTAAACTTCGTCAGAACGCGCAATTTCAACGACCCTACGGTGTTCATTTTCTTTGGAGACCACGTCTGACAGCGTCCTTTGTTACGTTTTTTTTTCACATGTTACGTCTGAGGCCGGGTCACGGTCTTGCGGCCGTTTACACCTGCCGGACGTACGTTCTTCCTTTTTGGTCAATTCTGGGGCTTTACCGGGGCGGAGGATAAAGATATGACCGGGAGGTGGAATAGGGTCTTCTGTTCCGGATTAAATCAAAAGGCCGTCAAGTAAATACACTGTGGGGTCCTGGAGCGTATAAAAATCGTCGGTGTGTTCCGCGATAAAATCAATGTAGGCAAAGTGGCACTTCTCGCACTCTTCTACCGGTCGATATATCGTTCAATTTCGCGAGCACCTGGCGCACAACACATCCGTGGGCTGGGTTCCGATCGAGATACTGTGGCTTATCACGGCCTTGGGTATCAGGACGTCGTCCGTCTCGTGGGTACACCACGTACAGTAGATCTTGTTGTCTAACAGGTTAAGATAAGCCAGTACCACCAGCCGGCATCGGCCAAGGTTATACTTATGGCAAAAATCAAACGCATCCGTCAACTCGATATACTCGCCCGGTTCACCGGGGGGTGGCGATCGTCCGATGCACATAGGTGGGCTTATGGGTGTTGCATATGTGTCGCTGATTACTGTTTTCTGCACGGGACCTTTGTTGACGGCGCCGGGTTAGACCGATGCTCGTGAGTAAATCTCCGAGTGGGGTACAACACCTTGCGTCGCTTTTCCATGTACACCCGGAATTGTGGATCTGTCGGGGGGACCGTAGCCGGGTAAACAGTCCTACCGCGGGAAATCGTGATCAACCTCCACGTGGGTCGAGTGACCGTAATCCGCACCGTAAACCTCTCGTTACCAATAATTCGCGGGACCCGGTTAACGGCGCGTTCCACTGTACTTGTCGTGTGAAAATTTGCGGCGTGTCCTTCCGTACCAGTCACGCGGGTAGTGTCAAACACTGCAGAGTCGAAAGACCTGGTGCGCGCGTAGGTTCTTTGAAGGGCCCTCAGTTGGTGCTCCCTGCCCCCACGTCGGGTCCGCCGCCTCCGTCGCGGAGCCGGGGCCTCTAGCTGACGGGAAGCCTAGGAATAGATACGACAAATAAGCGTGCAATCTTTAGTGCACCGTTCTCACTGTAGTACCCAAGATCAGAAAGTGACGAGTGTGCACTTGTGTGCACCTTCCTCGTACTTAAAAACGACAGGAAATGACGAGTGTGCACTCGTGATGCACCTTCCTCGTACTTGAGAATGACAGGAAATGACGAGTGTGCACTCGTGATGCACCTACCTCGTACTTCAGAATGACATGAAATGACGAGTGTGCACTCGTGATGCACCTTCCTCGTCAACGGAATAACAGGAAACGACGCAGGGTGAGCAGGAGTAACCAACAGTAACTAGAACAATGTAAACCGATTAAATGTTACATTCGTGTGCGAGGTACAAAAGGAGAATTATTATTATTATTATTGATATGTACTCTTACCATTAAAAAAAACTCGAAGTCAGATTTGATCTGCGCACGCAAAGTTATTCTAAGTGTAGACGCAAAAAAAAAAGAGAAAACCTATTCTAGGTCTAAAATATTTTAAGTCCCAAAAAAAAAATTAAAATATTCTAAGTCCAAACAGAAAAAAAAATTAAAATATTCTAAGTACCGACACGAAAAAAATTAAAATATTCTAAGTTCTAACTTGGAGTAATCAAAATATTCTAAGTCCCGACACGAAAAAAATTAAAATATTTTAAGTACCGACTGGAAAAAAGTAAAATATTCGAAGTTCTGACACGAAAAAATTGAAATATTCTAAGTCCCGAGTGAAAAAAATTATTCCGAACTGACGTTTTCGCGAAGCGAACTGAACAGGATAAATCTCAGAGACAGACTGAGTGTACGGACCGGTCGCTCCGGCCGTTTATATAGCGTCCCAAATACGTTGACGCTGCACGGTCCCACGGGTCCAGCGGTCACCGGCTTCTGGTCAACGATCCGCGGTCCCAAGCGTCCCTTATGTCGGCGCGTGCCTTATCTCTACTTCGGGCCGTTTGCCCGGCCAAGCCAGTGACCCTGGCCCCTCACAAGCGAACTTCGCCGTGGGAACACTTCGCGCACGAATATTAGAGAATATTTTACGTTTTGCCTAAATTACCTAAATATTAATTAAAAGGTTAATTGTACATTTAAGACTACTGAACTAATTTACAAAACGCTAATAATGCTAATTGTTTAACTATTATACAGAACGATAGATATATATGCGGTTAAAATAACAAAGCAGAATGTAATTATTATGGCAGAATTATACAACCGTAAATTATAGAAACTATTATAATAATGTAGAAATAATTACTAAAGACATGGAGTAATAATAATTAATTCATAACATAAACAACCATACTAACAGCAGTAACCACCACCGGGAAGTTGAAAAGTTTCCGAAAATTCCCGGAATTTGTCAAGATAAAT